CCCCCTTCCCCCCAAATTCCCAAGTTGAACATCTGCAAACAGGCTTCGGTGCCTGTTACTTGCCTGAGCTGTATTTCCTTGTATTACTTTGAGGGCTGGATTTTCCAAAACAGAGATGAAACACTGTTCCTCTACAAAGTCCAGCAGAGTTTTGGGGTTTACTTTAACAGGACAAAGGCTCAGGCTGGGCGTGCAGGGCTGCGCACCAGATGGCAGATTTTTTTGTTCTGGGTTCAATTGGGCACACACCCAGAACTCCTCTTGAGCAGGCAAAATACAGGCAGTGAGCTTGTGATTTACCCTTCAAAACAGAGAAGGGACACATATGCTGGCATCCAGCAAAAGCAGATTTCATACCTTGCAGACACGGAGACTGTTTGCTTATGTGTCCTCTGGCTACATTCATAGAGTTTCCGGTCTGTCAGTGCTTTTTCTCTGCTGCACCAGTGCTATCTGAAATTCATAATTTAATTCTCAAGACTCCGATTCCTCCCTGGGCTTTGATTTTTAACTCTGATCTTGCTTGAAGTTTTCAAACTGATTGCTCAGCCCTGCTTCAACTGGAATAAAAGCCTCCGAAATTCATCAGGTAATACGATGTCTCCATAAAGACGTGAACAGTCTTAAATTATTTGAACTCTCTTCTAAGATGTCTGAGGCACTTGTAAGTTCAACCTGAACTCTGACTCACAAGTAACATGGAGGATGCCAGCTTTTACACATATTTGACCTTCTCTCAGATTCTCTGTTTGATTTTGTCACCGAGTGGCTCCAAAAGTTGAATGTAATCACGAGATCCACTAATCTTCTGTTCAAAGGTATGTTAAAACCAGTTAAGCGGGCTTTAAGAAAGCCACAGAAGAAAGCTAGAAAATCAGCTAAGCGGGTCAACAAGTTTAAAGCATTAAAGTTGATTTAATAGTAAATTTAGATTAGTTGAGTTCATTGCTTTGAAAGCTGTATGCAATAAAACTGGGGCTGAAGTTTCTGCAGGCTCTGTCAATGTAGGGCAGTGCAGGTGTACAGGTGCGTTCCAGCCATGTATTCATTGCTTTATAAATTAAAAAAACCTACTGCTTAGATGGCAGATTGATTGGTGGAAGGCAAACCAGCCCACTCCTGCATTTATACACACCTGGCTCTGCAAGGAACTCACCTGAACAGATTTGATAGCACTAAGAAGGTGGCTAAAAGTTTGCAAGTCTGGGCACTAAGGTCCTCCCACCACCACCACCTTCCAATATTTTAAAGCCATGAATAAACCTAAAAAAAAACAAGAGAGAACTTTAAATAGTTTAAAAGATTTCCCTAAAAATCACCTCCCCCTAAAAACAAAAACACAAACTAAGACCCAAAATAGACCTAGAAGTGACATTTTTCAATAATTTAATAATTTTGGAAGTTTAAAAAAATGGTCAGCATCCATTCTTTTAAAAAACACACTGGGAATATGAAGCAAAAGAGAAAAAAACCTAACAACTTACTTTGTATGTCTGGCAAAAAGCTATCCCAAACACAACCATTTCTTCCATTTAGAAACGTAACTGTAATTGTTTAGGAAGTGCTACTCCTGACATTTCAAAATGAATACAAATAAAAAATAAAACCTACAAACATTTACAAAACCATGCTTACAATAAAGATGTAAAGGCCTTTAAAATGGTAAACTCCTTGTAGAGTTGGGTTGGGTTTTTTTTGTTCACAGATGGAAAAAAATCAGAAGCTTAAATGTGCATCAGCACTGCAAATATTTGATTACTCCTCACAGTGTAGTCATTAGAAATCTGTTTAGCTTTGCTTTAGACATTTCAAACAATAGTTTCCCCTGCTTCCTCAACAGACCAAAATATTCCACAGTCTACAACAACAGCCGGAAAGACTTCCTGATCTTCAGCCAAAATTTCCTCTTCTTTACATCATCACTACCTCTGATCACCCTCGTCTTTGTATACAAAGTTCCCCCACAGTAAGGATTACACTTTTAAAATCCACACCACTAGAAACATTACGCTTCACTCACCTCCAGCCTGCTCTATCTATAGCTGTCTACTACCTTTCTCATGATCATACCTTAAAATCTTCTATTCTGGTGCTTTTAAATGCCTTCCAGCAGTCGACACCTTTTGGCTAACACAGAGCTAAGTGGGCCAGAGGTAGCCAAAAAGCGGGAGCCCTGTGAGAGTGGTGCAGTAAATCCGGGGCACTGGAACTTCTGCTGTTTATTAAAAAAGCTCTGCAGACACCCCTAAAGAAGGGAAGCAGACACTGTGGGTTTTGCATGTTAAAGGCCACATTCTCTCCAAATGCAGATTGAATCAGTAGTATTTGCTTGCCTTTAAAAAATTGGAAAGCAAGAATCAAGTGTGGCTTTTTCTTCCCCTTTTACTCCCACATCACTAAGTTATGTCTACTTTGAACATCAGGTAATGCCATTCCTCGCTCCCAAATGACCACATAAAATCAGAAGCAGGGACAAACGGGGGTGGAAAAAGCTGCAATTGCATCCTCTCTTCTTACATTAACTTTGTAGACATATAATCTCAACTCATCCTCCATAAATAAATAATAAAGTATTAAAACATATAGTAATATTATATAGGCACAATAAAGCATAATTAATAAATAATAATTAATATTATCCAGTAATAAATCTCGGTACAAAATTTGAAAATAGAGTAGTATTGCTTTGGCACTTAAAACAAGCTTGAAAAATTTGGAATTGTCAAAATGTCTGGCTTTAGAGAAAGAAACAGTTACACTTGTAATCATTGAGCTGTGTTTGCCAAGCAGCAGACAAATGTGTTTTCTGATAATTAACACAGCTAGAAAATTAATCACATCCTAATGTAACTCATTTTGCCTGCAGCTTCCCTCTTTTAGACCATGCAAAGGAACACACTCGCTTGACTTTTAAAAACATAACTGTCAGGATGTCTTTGTTTTGAAGCACTTTTAGATATCTCCACTGGTAATTCTCCATCTCTGCTCCTGGTTCTCAGCTGGGCCATTAGCTGTGAAAAATTTCCATTTACCAATAACCTCCTCTCACCCTACTGTGTGCTGTAGGGGAACAGGTAACATTCAGGATGAATTAAGGAGTGTGAGTTAGGTGTAAGCTTTCCCAGGCTCTGCGCAAAGAGCCTCTCCCTCCAAAGTGAAAGCTGATGATACATCTGCCCTCAAGCATCTGTTTTCAAAGGCAAGATGACTAAAGAGAGGGCTGTTTCCATTGCAAGGTTGTGTAGTAGCCCTTACTCATTCACAAAAAAATAAAAAGTTCCCTTTCTTCCCTAGTGCAGACGATCTATGCTGCACACTCTGTTACTAACACTCTGATGGACAGAAAAGAATGATAAAGTACATGTTAAGGTCTACTTTAAGGCCAAAATGAGAAAAGGTTTTGCTTTGGATGAGGACGTGGATGGTTGTTTTTGTTTCCCTTATAGCCAGTACACTTACACCTCAGCTGAGCTCATAGATCTCTCTTATTAAGTTGCTATGTGTGCAGAGTTTAAAAGCTTATTTCTGGTTTAAAGCAGCCTTAGCTCTTCACCTTCCCTGCACCATCCTTCTTGTACAAACTCATGAGTCTTTTCTTTTGTTGTCTGTTACACCGAGGAACAAATAGATCCTTCCTGTTACATGATTCCTAAATAGAACTGGGGGGGGGGAAATCACATGACAACCTAACAGTCATTTCAAGTTTTCTTTTGGCTTCTGTACAAGAAACTGAGAATGTGATGATGATTTTCTCAAAACAACAGTTTCCATAGCAAATTTTCCTTTTAAAAGAACTTGGGTTGATTGCCTAAGCAACTAGGGTAATAGTAACTGAGGAAAATCACAACAGTTTGGCAGTTCTTATGGTTTGATTTTGGATGAAGGTCTCCATAAGCAATAGAGGCTGAACAGGGCAGGCTTGAGCAAAATTGCTGCTCAAGACAGCAACTATCTTCTGTTATGGTACATGATTTTAGGTTCACACTCTGAAAAACACTTTATAAAAATTGCCTGAGTTTGGAGTTACAATAAAAATAAATGAAAGCTGAAAGTTCTTAATATGTCTTAAAAAACCAAGGCATATTTCTGGAGATACAGAAGGAGGAACTGCAGGTTTAACTGTCATTGTCCACGTCTGAATGTTGTGGCTAGCAAATGCAGAACAAAAAGGTGCGATTAACACAATGATAGCAAAGTACAACACACCATGGCTTAGTGTAACATGTCTTTTGCGTTGTACAAGCATGTGTTTCAAAAACAGGAGTTGAGTTACTCAAGACGGTGTCTTCCCTTCTAGGATCCAGGATGCCGCACTACAAGCTGACATATTTCAATCTGCGAGGACGTGCAGAAATCAGCCGCTACATATTTGCCTACTCGGGCAAGAAGTATGAAGACCACAGGATAGAAGCAGCAGACTGGCCCAAAATCAAGCCAAGTAAGTAGCATGGGATCTTATACCCAAAGCTCTGTTAGAAATGCTGTCAAAAAGCAAAACAATTGATGAGGTATCTATGTTTCATGACCAAAAATATATTTAATTACTGGCTTTAGTTAAGCCTATGGAAATTTTATTGTCTAGACAGCTAAAATGTCATTCCTTATGCTCTCACAGAAGTCTGAAATCAAATCTTCTGACAATTTAAAATTACTTACCTGCTGTCATCCAGCTGCTCTTTTAATCCTATCACTTCAGTTCAGCTTCTGTCTGCCTAAAGCTAACCAAATGTGTGCTGATCTTCTCAGCTTCTTTGGATGATTTGGTCTCAAAGATCACACCACAGCCTTCACCCTGGTTTTAGAAAGCCAAATTGGAAACACATGTCAAGGAGGACACACCTTTGCAACCAGAAAAGTCTTCAGGAGGGGAAAGTGATGAGAGAAAACAAAAGAAATCACTTGATATAGCAAGGAGAAAAGGATTAAAAGAGGTGCTAGAAAATACTTGTTCTTAAGAACAAGCCCTACCAGAACTTCCAAGAGTACTCTGCAGGCTACTATACTCTATCCATTTAATAGATTTTAGTTAAAGTCTTTCCAGCTGTTAAAGCTATTTCTTATTTCTGTTCATTAAATTAGCCTTAGTTCAAATGAAATGGATCTTAAGTTTGGAGACCAGGGATATGGTCTTACAGATATCAGAGATATCTGTGTTTTCATTTCATGGATTTGGCCTGAGTTTTGCTACACAGGCTATGACTTTTCACATTCACAAGGTGGTTTCTGTTAATCAGGCAATGTTTCTTGGTAAGTTCTCACACCATTTAATAAGTCCAGCCAACAGGCTACCAAATTCTTGTAGAGTGCAGTTAAATTGGGTCTTCCCTTAGTGTTCACAATGACTTGAATGACAAATCCTCAAACACCGCTGTTCTGAAAGTGGCAGCTGAAGCCACCATTTGAGCTGTGGTGCTCAAATCTAGAAAACACTGACTAACAACCCATGGAGAGGAGTGTAGATGAAGCACTGGAAATGGGATATTTTCAGCTAGTTATTATTCAGTCAGTTATTAACTGACTTTGGAAGCCTTTTCTTTGTAAGAGCTTAAGCCTGTTGATGTGGTATAGCTTATTTCTTCTCCACTGCAATTCTCGGGGAAGCAGGGTAGAAGTCAGACAAACTGAGGAAAGCTCTGTGTAAACCTTTTTTGTACTTAACTACACATATATTCACATGTTGGTTAAGTCATTTAACCTTTGGATGTTTTTGTTTCTATTCTGTGATGTGAAAAGTTAGTTAGCAGGTTTACCAAATGTTAATTAAGATTTTTTCATTTTCTCTGCATAATGGCCTTTCATAGCAGCCTCTACTATGACTGATCCCTAGAAGAAATTCCAAAGTGGATAAGAAGTTTGGTAAAATGTGGGAGTTGCTGCTCTCAGATTTGTGAAATCATCTGTGCAGAGCTGATGCTGGCTTTTGAGTTCTTCTGTAGACACCCAGTCAGTCAGGGATTGGGAACTGGAGTGTATGGTGCTAATTTTCCAGGAAAACATACACCTACAAAGAAATAGAACATCAGAATCACAGAATCGTTATGGTTGGAAAAGACCTTTAAGATCATCAAGTTAAACCACTAACTTACTCTACCATGTTCCTGAGCACCACATCTAGACAGATTTAAATACATCCAAGGGTGGTGACTCCATCACTGCTCTGGGCAGCCTGTTCCAGTACTTGATAACCCTTTCAGTGGAGAAGTTTTTCCTAATAGTTGGATGCATGTCTGAAAGTGCTATTACATCTCATACCAGAATGCTAAGCTTTTACTTCTGGAAGGCTCCCTGAATCCTAGCTCAAGCACCAAGGTACTGGTGGCATTTGCCACCAGCAGCATCTGCATTGCAGACAGTATGCAAGTTAAGAGATTCATCAACAAAAACAAGAATAAAGGTATCTGGTTTGTACTTGTAACAACACAACACTGCTAAGGAAATTGCCTGGACATCAACTGACTGATGATTACCTCCTCCTTCTCCTCTGTGAAGCAGTGGTTACTCATGATATTTCCAGACAAAGTAATCTCCCACGGGCAAATCATTCAGCAAAACTGAATGCAAGGTAGCAACAGGGCTTTGCGGTAAACAGCCTTACTCTGTGCAAGACAACCAATAGCCACTGCCCCAGTCTGCCCTAAGGTACCTAAACACTGACTTCACAGGCCATGACTCAACACAAGAAATGGTTGTCTCCTAGCTAGGGACCAGGTCATACAGGATTTGTGTCTCTTAACACTACAACAGTATTGCATACAGCAGAGATGCACCATTCGCCATAAGGAAAACAAATCACTTGCATTTGCTACTGTCCTGAATTTTCCAAATGTACCTCAGCTACCTCTGTGGAGGCAGAAATTGAAGAGGAAAAAGCACCAGTTCTCAGGAAAGCAGGTAACAGGATCCTTGCCAAAAAAAAAAAAGCTCAATTATTGCTGTGTTCAACAGTAAATATGAAATGAGGGGATCCATCCAATACATCGTGCATATAAAGGCATCGTGCACTCTGCTGAGAGATCTTCTACAATACTATCATTCACATTCTGTATTCAGATCTTTCCTATGAAGCTCATGATTTATTTTTTCCCCCATTTTACCTGGATTTGGTCCACTTCAAAAACAAAAGAAATAAAGTAGCAGATTCCAGAGAGCTTAATCCTGGTGAAAACCAAAGTGTGGTAAGCATTTAGCAATGATAAAAGCGAATTACAGCTGCATTTGATATAACTGCAACTAATGTAATAGTGATTTGGTACACTGCTTGTTTTGCAATCCTCAAAAATCATTAAAATTGGCCCAATTCTTTGACTTAATTATATAATTATATATTGAAGTGATATTAAGAAATACCAGACAAATGGCTATGCACACTGGCACACATCATGTTTGCATTTACCAAATGCCTACAGAAGAGCTGAAACCAGTTTTAACCGCAGGGTCTGCAAGTACAGTGTAATGTCCCTATTTTAAGAAACTTCAAGTATGATAAAGTGAGAGAAACTAAAAAACACTTAGGGAAGCAGTTTGGACACTTCGTCTTTCTTGAGCTCCTGTGGGAACAAATCAAAGAAGTGAGGTTTGTCTAAGAGCACAAGGAACTGGGTCTCTGCACAGAGCATAGGTTTGCTTCACCAATTTTCACAGCATTAAAGTTTTGGAACAAATACCAACCTCCCAGTCAAATCATTGTACCACACAAACCAGAAAAATTCTGTTGTTATTCTGAAGAAAATATATTTCTTAGTTCTCCCATAAAACTGATGGGAAAATAGAAACTGTGTGCATTATGATTAATGTGTAGAAAGGTCACTTAGAGAGCAACTTGCAACTGCTGCAAGTTAAATTTTGACCTGGACAGAAGAGCATGACCGTTTTTGTTGTTTGTTTTGGTACTTTTCAAGTGTCTCCTCCCAGGAAACTGTCTTCTTAATGGTCCTTCAGGCAAATAAGTAACTCATCACTCCTAGAAATGCTGTCTCGCTTGATTTTGTGTACACCTAAGTGGTGCTTTGTTTGCCTGAGAGGGAGGCACATTATAACACAAAAACCTATGTCATTTGGCATATACACTCAAATTAAAATTTCCATATCTCAACATTACATTTTTTCCCTTCTATCACTAAACAGATCATCTATGGTATATTTTCCAGTTGCTGATTTCAGGCAAGCATTGTAGTTTATAGTAGTTTATAATATAAACAAGCTTAAGCAAGCTAGTAGGTAATATTAGCATTGGCTAGCTTTAGCACAGAATTTTAAAGAACAGGTTAATATCAAAGTAGCAGCTTTACATGACCCTTCACTCTCTATAAGTCAATAATTATTTAAATAAGTAAACAAACTTACATTTTAGGTTTCCTTTTAAACCGACTTTGACTTGACCATGACACCATTTAAACTGCAGTCAATTCAAGATATATAAATTATCATATAATAGACTTATTCAAGATCTGTACATAACAGGGTCCTCATTATTACAGTGACATAAGTCATGATTTATCAATAAATCCACTGTAATGGTGCACAGAGTTACCATCCCCTTGAGATACTAGGCTAGCAGGCAGAAACAGATTTTGTTCTGCGGCTCATTTGGGGAATTTGAAGCAAAGACAACTACACAGAATTGATCTATCATCATAGCAAAGGATGCTTTCATTGCACTGATGGCCGTAAACACCCCATACACCGTTTAGGATGGGTGGGATGAGAAGAGGTCCTCAAGAAACCTGACAGACTAATTATTGCACTGAAAATACTTCCAAGATAACAGATAAATCTTGAGAGGCACCTGACAGCAGACAAGAAGCCCTCAAAGGAGCAGCTGTCCTGGTTCCTGAGTCACTTGCTGCTACGTAGCTCTAGCTAAGATGTGCAAATAGCTATCTCTGGGTTAAAAGTAGGGCTTATTCTCCTTGGAAGTGATTGCTACGAGTCGTAGTAGCGACAGCACTAAAGCTAGGTTGATGTTAGATCAGACCACCATCCTGGTCATCCCTTTCTGGAAGATACAGATTCTGGGTGCCTCCAGCTCCAGGCCAATCACTTCCCAGGGGTTCTGCTCCTCTGATAGCCTTACCAAAAATGCGTCTTTCATATATTTCTTGTTGGAAGATGCAAAGTATCTCATATATTTGTTTCTCATGATTCAATTTAAATATGAATGGAAAGGAGAAGCAGTTACAGCCAGTTTTCAAGGCAAAGGAGAACTTATTTTGACAGAGATATTGCAGTAAGAAGCATAGCTGTGACATTTATTTTCCTCCATCTTTGACCAACACAGCTGACTTGCTATGGCATCAAGCTAAGCTGCTTGACTGCAAAACCATTAGTTAATTGAGTTTTGAGGAGCAATCAAATGCTTAAACACAGGCTGCTTAGCATCAAGGCCATGGACAGCTTCAATGCAGGCAGGAGGAAGCATGAGGAAGAGCAGGTCAGCAGCAAAACTGTGCTTTGCTCTTCTTTGTGTTTCCTATCCTTGTCTTTGACAGAGAAGCATGCCCACGTGAGCACCATCCTCTGGGTCATGCCCAGGAGGAGAAGCGAGGAGCTCATGGTCAAAGGGAAGGCCTGAAAACCAGTGAGAACCTACAGGTGTGCTGGGATGGGAATAGTTGTCCCAGCCCTAAGGGGCTTCATAAGACACAGACAATTTAAACATACGTCCTTGCTTTTAACGCACATCATCAGGCCTCATCTCCCCTGCTTAGTATCCAGCAGACTATATAAACATGACAGTTCTAGTCACAAAAGCCAACCAAAATTGAATCATGCATAAAAAGGAATTCATCCAACCCCTAAACAATGCACAGACACTTCAGCAAGTCCTTCCTGAAATAAGAAGAGAAACTGCAGATCAGTCTGATGACTTACGTTTGCACTCTGTCAAGGTTTTCTTCATGGGCACTGTAAAGTCTGTGCAGATTTAATTCCAGCATGCTATGCTAAAAACAGTGAATAACCAAGATAACAGGAAAAGTAAGAGTTTGCTGATGAAAGTTCAATTTAAAGAAGACTACAGGTTTAATTATCCAAACATCATGCTTTTTTAAAAACCCTGTTCCTCTTTTCAGTGAGTTTTCAAACTAAATCTGGGAATCAACACAAGAGTTCATAGCACCTTCTCCTTCAGATGAGTAACACAGCAAGCAGAAACTAAAAGGGAAAGTATTTTGTGTATGTCTGAGAAGTGACGCTGTTTGCACGATGACGGCAACAGATTTTTCAAGTTCTCATCCTTCAAATGCAATTGCTCAAGTGGGAGTTGGAAACATTGCAAGACAACACTGTTTTGAAAAACATGGAGAAGACATCCATATGGATACACCAGGGTATAAACTGACGTAAAGCACAAAGTGGCCATGTAACTGATCAAGGTTAAAGAAAAACTAGCAAAGTGAAGGGCACATCTTCCAGTCTGCACTACTTTGGCTTAACTGTTCACTCACGATCGCTCTCCGAAGCATTTTGTTTCATTATCTGCCCCCACAACCCTCATTCTACCAAAATGAGAACCCCCTCACTCTCCAGCTTCATGTGCCACCTCTTTCACTTGCTCATCTAATGTAGGAGCCTGGCAGGAACCGACCTACGTGCTTTGTTCATCTGGTGTTACATGAACCCTGCATTTCACCGAAAACGTGTAAAATTTAGTAGTTTTAATACAATTAGTATACATATGGCGCATTCAGACATCCCCAGAGGTTCCTCAAATGTGTGTTGTCAATGAGCAGAGCTATGGCCAAAAGCACCACAGGAGGCTCAAATCCAGCCACAGAAGCCCCTATCTACAAGTCTAAGGATAGCACTGCTTAAATTTGTGTACAGACAGATGGGATTTTCTTGTGGTTTGGAGCCCCTGAGTAGATGGTTTAGCTGTGGGTTTTGCTGCACTTCAAAAAACGGGCTCCGGCAAGGTAACCAGGTCACATCAGGGTCATTTGTCAAACCCTGACCTTGCCTCCGGCAATCAAAATGTGCCCATAGAGTGTGATGGCTCTTCATATCCTTCCTTAGGATGAACTGTGCAAGACAAATCCACCCCCCTCTTCTCTCCTTGGAAAACAAAGTCTCCAGTTTTCACAGGAAATGCATTCCTGCCCACAAGAGCCAAACTTTATACGCAGTATTCTGGGTTTTGCTATGAGTTTATCAATATAGGAAATCTTCTTTCACGTTACAAGAGAAAAAAGATACTTCACTGCAGGTTACTAAAAACTTTGGTCTTGTCAGATGAATTTGGGATAATAACACTATGAACACGCAAGAAAGGAAGGAATGTCTCCCATTTACCATCTGTTATGCTTTAAATAGTCCATTCATTGCTTAGTAATGATGGCAATAGATGTGCTGCCTCTTAGCAAAATAAACCCCAAGCCCCATCATAAATCAGAGCATAATGCCTCTTGGACATTTAAGGCCTGCGGGACAACGTGCAATAAAATCTGCTCTGTATTAATTTTCTACTTGCATTATGAATCATGCAAGTGTATGAATATTTCTATTGCCCACAAAACAAAGCTGGATTTCTATATTTTTAATTGTTAACTCAGTTTCTTTTCCAAGAAAGAATAACCAGATCTCAATGAAAAATAGCTTAACACTGAGGAGGAAGGAGTTTGCAGGCATTACTCATGTTTTCAAGGAGGGAGTAGCAATTCCCTTGAATTCTGTGGACTGCTAGGAAAAAAAAAAGTGAATCCAGAAGTAGCCAGATTTCTGAGAAACATGACAACTTACTACCACTCCACCACCCAGCTGCCTTTTGCACCTTCATCCACGTTCCTCAGCCATCAGAAAGATGCCTTCCTCCTTTAGCTGCTGTCAAGAGTTTCTTAAAAAAAAAGTAGAACTATACAAATAAACTGGCTTTCATTTGACTTGTAGTGACTGAGAAAGTAAAATGCCAGTCAAAGCTGTGTCTTTTAGACTTTCTGCTGTATGTAAACACAGAAAATGGTCTGTTTGGTTTCTGGATGAAGCAATTGCAGTTTCCCAACCTGAGCAGCGATCATCATGTTTTGACAGTTATTGCTACAGAGGCTGCCTTAGTCACGTTGCCCCAGCCAAAACTGCATCAGCCCAGTGCCACTCCTGGCAGGGCCTCCGAAAAAGGCTGGTTAACTCCTTCGGGTGTGGTGGTTATTGCACGCCAGCATGTCCAGGAGTCACTCATTCCCTCTGCTCACATTTGCTTGAAAGATGTGCTGGTATCCTGCAAAAGCAAACATTGTTTCATAGCTCTGCAGCTTTGGAGGCAGCGATGCTCAGGGCACCCCGCACCATTAAATTCATAGTGCAGGACCAAGGCTCTTCTCTTTTCACAACCAGAGAACTTTTCAGTGCAGCATTCAGGGATGCAGCTTTTCCTCACTGGATTCTCAAAGCAGCAATATGTGGGCTTGCCAGGACCTTGCTGATCTCTGGATAATAAACATACGAAGTTTTCCATATAGCAAGTCTGTTATTATTTTTATAACAATGAGCAGTACACGCATTCTCCCTGGGATACAGCAGTTAATGCTCTCTGAGCTCTCTTGCTTCTGCTAGTCATCATCAGCAAAATTTATATTGGCTTCAGTGTGCTAAACTTAGGGAAAGAAATTGTATCATTAGTACTGTGTTCAGATGCAGAAATAAAAATGCACAGAGGAGTCCTGGATGTCTTGTGCTGCTGCCAAATTCATTCTGCAGATACACATTTGACAACAAATATCTTGTACCTAATGTGGTTTGCACACTGCATGCTAAATCATGGAGCCACATGGCAGTGTTCCTCAATTGCTGTATCATCGATTGAAGTTACCTTGATAAACAGGTCACGAATGCATCAAGTTTCATTATTATTCTCTTTTCATTAAAAAATCAATAAAGCTTAAAGAATAGAAGTGGTATTCCAGGAGTCCTGTAAAGACAGTTTTCCTGGGTCTGAAAGCACCTTGCACATTTCCAACAGCCAACATTTTCACTTTTCTGCTACTGCCTTTTTACACCACAAGACAATCTTAAGATGGGCATATATTTTATGTGCACAAACTGTAATCCAGATGGAAATCATGTACAAAGCATTTGGTTATGATCAGCACTTGCAGTCATGTACTTGGAGTTTATGAAGTAGCATCATTTGAAATGCAGAGATTTAAATTTCCTCTGGTGAACAGCACCAGGTTCCCACAAGAGGATTCTCACCACCCATGTGGTTAAAGTCTGGAGGCCTCTTCCCTGTGACTGGCTGAAATTTTTTGTCATGCAAGCCAAGTCAAGTAAATTTGAGTATTTGCTTAGCATTTGTGGTTCAGTGTGAAAGCTCTATTTGTCTCTTGGTGATGACTGTCACGTGAAACATCTTGTCACAGCTTAAGTTCTGAAATACAGATGCTTCTCTGCATCACTGCTGAATTTAAAACAAGTGAAACAGCAACTGCATAAAGAATTCCGGATATGTGGGAGCACAAGGTTAGGAAATAGGAAATGCAGTACTTGGTTTATACATTATAATTGCCTTATTGCAGTACAATCTGTTATATCCTTACTTTTTTTTTTTTAAGTCCATGTGTTTCCCCTATAGCAACACTGTGAAACTGTGAAGTGCTATAGCAATGCGTACCCCCTGAGTGGTAAAAGTGTAACTATTACAGACTGTCATTGTTAAGGGCTATAATTTAACTTTTTTGTTGGCTTTTTTCTCTCTCTCTTTTTTTTTTTATCCTCCAAGCTATCCCGTTTGGCAAAATCCCCATTCTGGAAGTAGATGGAGTTATTATTCACCAGAGCCTGGCAATAGCAAGATACCTTGCCAGAGAATCAGGTAACACATATTTCACCATTTCCTTGCTCTGTTCTGCACCTACCTTTAATCCTAAGGAAAAATACATCCAACCACACCAAAAATAGAAACAAATGACTTGTTGGCAAGCCCAAACAAGCCAAAGGCATCACCAGCATGGCAATACGGGTATGACTGCTTTTCCCAGGCACAAATATTGAGCGGTTACCAGCCTCTCTCTGCATCCGTAGTTCCTCCATTAGCTCCAAGTGCTGAGCATGGAAACACTGCGTCCCACAGAGGATGCTATTAGAGGAGATGGAGCGATGGTGTAACACATCTCTGCACCAAGGAGCACCATGCAGTGGCATGGCCATGCTCTGCTGTCTGCCTCCCCGTAATCTGGTGCCAGTTTTGGTTGCTGGGCTGGGGCAAGTCTGATGAGATCTCAGGCTACATCCCTTGTGGTTCCATGATCAGAAAGAAGAAACAGAGCAATGCACATCTAGGATGCTGTATGACAGGGTTTAGAACCATTCAAATCACATAGAAAGTTAAAAAAAAAAAAACCCACAACAAAAACAAACACCAACCAACCAACCAACCAAAATGGTTCAAAGTAACAACCTGAAGTTGGAAATGCTACAATGTCCAGCGTTGAAGTCACACAGCTGAGCTCCATATTTGCACTGTAAGTGTGTACACCTAAAGGAAAACTCATAAATGATCCCCCTTGTTTGAGTTTCCCCTCTGCATACAGTACCTGAGGCTTGCACTGACTTCTCCAGCCAATAAACTTTATTCACCCATCACTGCAGGACAGAAAGTGCATACCTGTGGCTCCCCTCAGGCTCCCAATTTCCCCAGGAGTTAAATTTTGAGCTGTGGGGCTAATCAGAGAGAGAAGCAGGGGGGTGAGATTTGGGAAGCATTAGAGATTATTGCAGTCAGCAGGCAGCACAGTCCAAAGCAGATTTAGGCAACAGTTCTGAGCTGGTGGAGATTAGATCAGACGGTGACATCACTGCCTCTTTAAATACTTACATGCTGTGGAAGTACTCCACCAGTTAGATAAAGTGATATAGGACTTAGTAATGCAAATAACCAAAGAGAGTAGGTGGGGCTTGCTGTAGGTCAGCAAGCTGCTTTTCAAAATAATCTGCAAAACTGATCTGGTCAAAGGTGGACGTGTTCGTGGTGCGCTGAACATCAGCAAATTGATGAGGGGGGCTGGGAAGTGAGTATTTTCCTATCTTTTTACACTCTGAGCAAAGAGATGTAACTTGCCTGTCAAAATATCTCACATTTTCCAACTGCCTTCAAAAGCATAAAGTAAGGGAGATATCTTGGCAGAAGAAGGGCACATGGTTTGTGGGAGTCACAGAGCTTCCAGGTGAGGTTGAAAGAGCCAAGAAAGGAAGCAAAGGATGATCTGGACCTGCTCAGAAATGAAAGCATGAAGGCAGGTCTGTGGAATGAGAGCAAGGGAAAGTAGTAGCAGCATTAAGAAGAGTGCAGGCAAACCAAAGGACAACAGGGGAGGAAAGCAGATTTGTAAATTAAAGGTGCCTGATTACCACAAAATAATCAAAAGGATGTCACAAGAAGGTTCAAAATGGGCCTGAATGGGCCGGATAAAAGGAAAGAGAAGCAGATTTTCACAGAAGCACTTTTGGAGGTTGTTTTGAGAGGTGGAAAGACCACAAGGTGGAGAAGAACATTGAAGGCTGCGATTGGGAAAGATTAACAGAAAGGAATTAGTGCTAACATTGAACATCCTGGGATGGTGGAAAGCAGAGAGAAAGATACAGAAGTGTTAGTCAGGCCTTGGCTCAGGTGATGGAAAGAACAACTCACTGCCTTGGATGGCTATACGAGGCTGGACAGGGAAAAACGCAGCGGTAGGTGAGATTACATCTTGATGCAAGGAGTCAAATGCATGTTGTTAACATCAAAAAAGCCCTGGAAAGCATGTATGTTTATGGAAAGGTTCACAAAGAACAGAGTTTACCTTTGGGGCATCAAAAACTCCTGCTGACGCCGTCTGTAACCTGCCTTCTTGTGCTCACTTCCCACAGGCCTGGCGGGGCAGACACCTGTGGAACAGGCACTAGCTGATGCCATCGTGGACACCATAGACGACTTCATGACGCTGTTCCCTTGGGCAGAGAAAAACCAGGACGTGAGAGTAAGCCAATTGCTAATTTAAACAAAGACAGCACATAATCCATGACTCTGTACCTGAGCATCAGATCTGGAGAAACCACCATGTGCCAACCCCTGGGTCCATCACCTCACCTCAGCAAAGCTGAGCTGGAGGAGCTCTGTGCTTCTTTCTCCAGGCTAATCCAGCCTTTCCACATCCTCCTCCACCAGGTTTTTTTCACCCTTGGTGGAAGCAATGATTAAGCCATCATGAGCTGCTCCTCACTGGTTCACCTTGAATCAAGACTGCCATGTGTGCATACATCAAATTGTTCTTCAAAAGGGAAAGACAGGACACTTCCATCCTAGCTAGCACTGAGCAATACCTGTATCTTGTTGGGAAAAGAATAAGTGCAAATCTGTCTATTTTTGATAACTGAGCAGGATTAACAGCTCCATCTCCTTCCTTTCTGCCCTTGAGATCTTGATTTCTACTTGGCTTTTCATGAGTATCAGTCTTCAATAACATCAGCTGCCAGGGATAAATGCTTTTTAATTACCCAGGCGATACAGGACAGCAGGCCCTGCTAAAGGGGTGGCATATCCCTTGCTGTCACTGCAACTGTGCCCTCCAGGCCTCCCTGGTCCCACCACTTAAGTGCACCTCTACAGTGCTTCTGCTCCCACTTTAACATTCAGCTACATGCAAGTCCTATAGCATGAGGAAGGGATTTTTTAGGGCATCAGACTAGTCTCTCTCACCAAAGCCACAAATACAAGTGTGCAGATCAGCTGCTGAGGGGGAAGAAGGTGATGGAGGAGTTAACTCCAGCATTACAACAGCTCCACACAGCTCTGACCCAAGCAGATGACCTGGTCTCTTTGGGAAAGTGGTAATGACAGGTCTCGCCATTAACCACCAGTGCAGCCTCCTGCTATTTATTCAAAGGCAATGTTTCAGATAGATTAGGGTGTCTTATTTCCTAAACCATAGAGTACAAAATGTTGACCAAAAACCAGTAATAAATAACAAAACAATATGAAAGTGTTCTAAAATCTTACAGGGGAAAACATGAAAGTCTATTTGGAGGTTTTGTATTTAAAAAGTTAATTACTTAATCTCCTACTGATTTCCTGAAGTTTCCTCATTAGGGGAGGGGAGGTTGACTCATGATTTTTAATCGTTTAGGAACAACCACACTATTGCTAACAGGTTCATGGCAAAGCAGCGCTGCTGCCCTGGTGCTGCTGCTGCTCCTCTGCAGGGAAACTCCCATGACAGGGCCTGTGTGGGTCCCGGCTTGTACTCAAGCACTTCCCCAAAATAAGGACGCAGCCCATGTCACCAGTGATTAATTTAAGAGGGGAGAGAGTTCACAGGCAACCCTTATATGCCTGTACACATCCAACAGAGTGTTCCACGGCTAAGGAAGATCGAGAAACTCGCTTTCTGCGAATCTCTAACTCTTTCCTCGCTATTTACTGTTCTCCTCCCGGGTCCACTGCCACCACCTTGTGGTAGAAGTGGCGTCTCACGGCCTCACAAGGCCGGATTTAACTGATCTACACATAGTAAAGTCAGAAAATTTCCCCAGACCTGGCAAGTAATTAGAGAGACACATGTACCCTCAGAGAACGGTGAAAGGATGGGTTATGCTACATAGCCAGGAGCAAACGGAAAACCAAGCAAGGTAAAGGGAACAGAGGTGGAAGTTGCCCGTGGAAGCCTCCTCCGTGCCTTTACCCTACAACTCTCCCCCTAACAAAAAAATCTGGTGTTGCAACAGCTTCGTCATGCGTTGCTGGAGAGCTCCAGGGTTCAGACATGATGTTGTGCCACTCCAGAAGGTGGATCCTGGTCACGTCCCCACCAGCCTCACAGCTCGACTGCATACTTCTGTAGCTGGGGAGGTCATTACCGACGTGATCACACCATAGTTTGGGTTTTTTTTTTTTGCAGGAGGGGTGGGGGAACTTGCCTAACAAAAGGAAATGCTACGGTACAGGGTACAAATATGAAGTGTATGGCCTGCAGCCTTCTGGCTGTTACCTGCAGTCACAACATTCAGTTACTAAGCTCTTAACACAGCAGAAAATGATGTCAAGTCTTCAAACGTATCTACAGAAATACTGATTTTATTTCTGCCTGCAGTTTTGGGGACCATTTAGGGTGCTGCGGCTTCTAAATTTTATTCTTTTTGTTTTATTAACCTGAATTTCAAAGCCATTGAAATAATTCTGTTCTTGTATAGCAGTGCATATTTAACCAAGCCTGAGTGTGCTCCTCCAAACTGAGCCCAAACACATTAACTGCACAAACTGTGCCACACAGGTCACACCAGATGGTCACAACAGTCTGCAATCAAAACTGCTTCCACAAACAAACAGTTTCCCTCTCCAAAAGAGCTAACTCTTTAAGAACAGCCTTAAAACTTTCTGCTCTGGTGAACAGCTACCAGAGAAACATCACCATATACCACCTCATCCTTCATCCAGAAACATACAAATATTAAGGCCTGCATCCTTCAGTGCAGACTTCAGCTTTCAAAAACATATTTTATGCACCTCAAATCTCATTGCCACAGAGGAAAAAAAAAAGACAATAGCATGCTAACATAAAAAACCTTGTTACTGCTGCATTTCTTTACTTACCTTTAATAATTGCTGTTTGCTGTTAATCCTGACTTGGCTGTTAACACATTCCTTCTTCTGAAGAGAACTGAGAGCACTCTGAAGTTTGGGTTAGACCAAATGATTTCACTGTCACCTTTTTCAGATTTCAGCTTTCTTTTTCACAAGAAGCTCCCAAAAATTCAGTTTAGCCAACTGCTGTGCTTACGCATTGGTGTGCATCTTTGTGTTTCGTTCTTCTCCCAGAAACGAGCGTTTGATGACATCCTCACCAACAAAGCACCCGAGTTACTGAAAGATTTGGATACTTTCTTGGGGGATAACAACTGGCTGGTAGGGAAGTCTGTGAGTATGAGTTTTGTTTCTCCTATTCCAGTCAGTTTGCCACTAAAATAAAATCATTGACTATTACTGAATTTCTGGATTTCAGCCCATGAAACAACCCTCCCCACTCCTTTAATCCTTTCTTCTTACCAATACACAGTTGGCTGCTAAACTGTAGAGTGAAAACTGTGTGCCATACCATTAGAAAAGTGAGGCAAAACCAGGACTAAGATCCATGTTTGCTAAACCAGTTGAGACGTATGTTGACACAAAACATTACAAATGCTAGTGTACTGGTCAACAGAGATGGGAGTTGTTTAGAACTCAGTTTATAATCACTTAAAATTCATGAAAATATGGAAAAAAAACGTAAAAAATGTAATCCTCTTTTTTATCCAAACTGTTTGGAAACCAATTAAAACACTTTTCTGCAGCAAATACTATAATGCAAGTAAGATCAATATCAAAGACTTAATCAATTTTTACTCAAGTCCAGCTTTACATTGCAATCTGACTTCTGTAATTATAGGCTTTAAAAAAAAAACAACAATCCAAAGCAACACAAAACAGATGAATTAATGGTTTTATCTCTGCAGTTTGCCGAGAATATTTGTAGTCCCAGCTTCTGAGTTTACAAACTAAAGTTTATTATTGCTTTCTCTCCCATTTCCACCAGGTAACGTGGGCCGATTTCTACTGGGATGTGTGCAGTACGACGCTCCTGAGCTGCAAACCTGACCTGGCAGACAAATACCCCAGGCTCTTGGCTCTCCGAGACAGAGTGGAGGCACTTCCAGCCATCGCAGCCTGGATCCAGAAAAGACCGAAGTCGATGATGTAAATCCGCTGAGAAAAACAAATGCGTGTTTAGTTTTCATCATGACCAGCATCTTAAGTTATTAATTTTAGAATCATTTAAATTAATTTCAGTGGGTATACTATACCAAATCAAAATGTACAACTTGTATCCATTTACAAAAGAGAATCTAAAAAGTTGATTTAATATAGAATAGAGCCTGAGGGAGAGGTGTGGATTCAACTGCATTCCCCCCACTACTAATAAAGTGCTTGATCAACCCAATCAATGTTCTGTTGGCTCTCAAAGGGAGAGGAGATGAATAAACCTTCCTGGAGAGATGCAGTCTCAACAGTACTTTGATATTGTAGACTTTCAACCTGGAGGAAATCAGGCTAATTAACAGGGAGGATAAATGTGTGGGAGGACTAAGGGCACTACGCAAAAAAAAAAGGGAAAAAAGACCCACTCAGTCAACAAACTTCAAGCCTCTCAATCACCTTCTTTAGGCTCTTAGAATTTATGCTGTGCCACTAAAAAACAAAGACAAAACAACAAAAAAAACAACCCCAAAACCACCAAACGCCCAAGCAGCTGCCCAGGTTCACTATAAGGGCACCAGCTGCAGACACATCCAGCAGCTCCATATCTCTTCCAGTAAAAGTAGGAGATGCAAACTGCGGGGTGGTGGTGGCAGGGCTGGAAACCAGGTTTCAAACAAATGAATCAACAAAGTTTGGTCTTGTGGCCCGGGGGGGGGGGGGAAGGAGGTGGAAAGCCTGGCAACATGGATAGTTGTAGATGCAAGTGGTTTACACAAACTTATTCCTTTGTTGAGAACATGCAAATACAATGGGATGAGAGTTGGGTTAGGATCATGCTCAACAGAAACAGGCAACGTAAGTAACTGCAGCATTAAACATTTGTGGTTGTCTAACTCCCACTATTTAGCCCAATAAAACAGGTGGAATTAAAGCAGCATGGTAGATAAACTGATTCTTACCCTTACAGCAGGGCTGTAGAGCTGACATTCCCATGTATCTGTGCTATTTCAGCTGTGCATTTTGGAACATGCAGCACAGCCACAGAAGATTTTTAGTAAAAGCCAAGTAAAGTTTAGCTAAGACTGTGAAAACACTTTGAAACCTTTCATTTTCCATCCATTCTGTACTTGCAGAAAGCACGTGCAGTTGGAAAAAAAAGGCCCACAGTCATAACCAAACCAAAAAACTCAAATAACTGCCTATTTGATTGATAACATGCAAGTTATTACCACTCCCACCACATCCAAATAACCACAAAATGAAAAGACTTTGTTAATCTGTGGAATTTTATTTGAACAAGTTGGTACAAAACCAGTACGGTACATCGAATGAACCAAAACAAGCAGAAACAGACTCAAGCATTGTCAAATAAGGCACATAAAAAAATCTACACGCATAATCCAGTGAAACAGACAGTTTTTATATATATATATTTGGAGGTAGAAATAATTACAAAAATACTGACAAATCTTAAGCAGTAGCAGATTTATTAAAACAATTACTACTTAGGTCCCCGTTTTGAAAAGTGATCTGTAAAATAATGTTTATTCAGCATCCGATGTTGGCACATTTGGGCCATTGACGTTTTTAAGCATCAAAAGAATGCTATCGGTGTTAAAAACTTTAAATACCAGGAGAAGTACAATAAAGAAACTATAAAAAGTTAGAAAACTCATGGCCATCAGTAATGCAATAGTCCTTGGGGTACAACATCACCTTTCTTCCTTGAATTCCACAACATATTTACATTTCAGAGACCTAATGAAGCTTTTAATAGTGTGGCTATATCAGCTGGAATGGTTCCTTCTTCTCCTGAGGAATAAAAACAAGCGTTAGTACCGCTCAAAATACTTCCCATAACAGACAAAAGTCTAGATCCTCAAAATTGTACAAAATCCTCTACTTGTAGGAGTCTGTCATTGACTTGTAGGTCAGAGGGCACTTCTTGTCAAACCCAACAATAATCAGCACAAATACATCTTTCTAGTTTATTTAACATGAAAAAACCCTAAAGGCTTCTCTGCATCAAGAACCTTGTTTTTGCAGAATAATATATTGCAGCAACCTTAACTCACTTAAACGGACATCATTAGGTGCAAGAGACTTACCCAAATCTGCTGCAGTCATATCTTGTTCTAACTTCAATTTCTGCTGGCTGATTTTGAGCATGGATTCTTCAATGGTTCCCTTACTGATTAGCTTTATGACTTTTACTTCTCTGAAAACCACAAAAGAGGATAAATCCATTTTTACAGTTTCTATGGATTACTGCAAAAGGGAAGGGTGCTATGCTTTAAACAAGGAGGAGGAAATGAATAAAGGAGTGATACATAGAGCTGCTATTTTTTCTGTCTGGACCAACTGTGCTCTGTACTGCCAGAAAACCTGTTTTCTCCTGCACTCCCAGCCACTGCAAAAGTCTGGATGGTCACAACAATCTCTGTTAACAGAAACAGCTGAACTTCCCCCTCATCCCATAGCACAGTTGAAATACCAGTTATTAAACACATTCTATTGCTTGTTCTGACGGAGGACTCTAAAATGGACCATGGTTTTAGTCTTTATGATAAAGCAGCACTTGAGATCTCAGAAGGCTCCTGAAGAGAACAAACTGCTGTGCCAAACAGTCCCAGAGACTTCAGATCTGCCTTGAAACAGTTCCTAGCACCAGAAATTTGGGAATTATAGACAATTTGAGAGTTATACGGAACTTGAAAAAAGGAGGAGAATGTAAATAAGTTTTGTTCTAGCACAAACACGCACCAAGACAATTACAGTTACCTAGCTCCTATACAACCCAGAGCTGGTTTATGAAAGTCTCTGCTTAAAATTGAATTTTAATAATAAAATACTGTCCTCCTTTTAGCCTCTTTGAGAGCTTGCCTTAAGAAAAGCCAAGCATAATAATCATCACCATCATCTTACCTTGTCTGACCTACTCTGTGGCATCGGTCTTCTGCTTGTTTATCATTATATGGGTTGCAATCGATGTCATGAAGAATCACAACATTTGCTGAGGTCAGATTAATTCCCAAGCCACCAGCTTTGGTTGACAGGAGAAATACAAATATACCCATATCCGTATTGAACTCATCTATTAGGTGGATCCTGCAGAACACAAGAAAACAAACATCAGGTCTTGGAGAAAACACCATGCTGGCTCCAAAGTTGAATCCAGAAGTTAGGATGAAGGTCTTTTGAAAGGGAGGACAGTGGCATGGCAAAGCTGCTAAAAAGTACAGACATTATGGGAAAAAGGGTACCAAGTCCTCAGCAGTGACCACAGAAACAGACTCGGAGTGAGAAGAGTGACAGCAAAGAATGAAGAGAGGCTTGGGAAAAGATTTTGGATGATCACAGAATTCAAAGAGCAAGTTGAAGGAGCAGGGAAGACTGAAGTACATGAAAGAAATGGGAGGGGAGGAAGAAATTGGGCTTCATGACTGTCTTCTGCACTAATTGCACATACAAGAGAAGTAAGAAATATCAGCTGTAAGTGGAAAGTAATACCAAAGCAAGAACAACATTTTTTTCAAAACAAAGGAAAGAGCACCTAAAAAACCCCTCAAATCATGAAATAGGAAACAGCAGAAAACCAGCGCAGGTCACACAGAAGAAAAGCACTGCAACATTTTCAGCTGTGAAGGACAGAGCAAATGGTTTGTTCTAGAGAAATAAAGGGGCTTATCTGCTTGTTGTAACAGAGCTATACTACACTTCCAAGGAATATCTACAGGTGAGTTTTGTTACGGCATACTGACACACAAGCAAATCAAACACATCATGAACTGCTGAAAACAAAAGTTTTCTGTTTCAATGGCTAAGACTGTAACACAGCCATCTAAAAACTCACCTTTCAGCATCATACTTACTAAGGCAATCTGAAATCTAACATTAAACCTCTTCTATAGTCAATGCCCAGCGACCACACGATTCTATACATTGGAAAACAGAGGTTGGGGTTTTAAGTCACCTCCCCCCTCCTCCATGCACACATTCACTTTTTCTCTGTCATCTTGAGCAAAAAAGTCACATACCGATCAGAAATCTGTGTTTTTCCATCCAACCTAATATATCTATGTTGCCAATGCTTTAGGAAAACTTCCAAGATATCCAGCATCATAGTAAACTGGCTAAACAATACAACTCTGTCACCCTGGAAATGACAAAGCAAAACAGTAACACATCAATTACAGATAACAGACTAGACAAGAATTTTATTGGTGCAAATGAGTGATTTTACTTTGACTGAGTCCATGTTTTCCAATCTAAAAGAATAAGCTGAAATTCATCAAGTCAGGACTGACTTTCAGTGAAGATGCTGCATCCAGTATTTCTGTTGCATTGACTCAGCTGTTGGGAGTGCAATAACTTTTCAGTTACTTTGTACTTAGGTGACTCGAGCAATCTAGAAATCACCTGTCAAATGCCTAAGTGACAGACCTACTCCATCTATAAACATCAAGAAAATTATTTTAATGAAAAACAATTTAAATTTAAGCTGTTTTCCACAGCACACAGAGCAGCAGCACTCTGTTGCCTGAAATAATCACACAGATGCACAGCACGCCCTTGTGTAAATTCCAGATACTCTTAAGTATTATGGTACATGCTTATTTGTAAAACAAGCCAGTTTGGATCACTGATGCAAGGCAGTGATCTCTTCTTACCTTTACATTGGCTTAACATATATGTGATTATTCTAATGTGATACAGTCTTATTTAATTGCCAAAAGAAGGTCAAAGTTGATGAGCTGTGAAAATGATACCAGCCCTCCATACACTGAGAAAGCAGCATTAACTTGTGATGAATATTCTGAAACTTGGAAAAATGGGAAAGCTCATTTCAGCTGTCTCTAAGGTGAGGTGTGTAGGCAGGACTGCACATTGAAAGCCGTAAGGATTGCTTTGCAATACTGCACATGCACTAAATCACATTGTAATACTCCACATAAAAGCAACTGGGTTGCGCACACAGCTAGCAGATGTTAAATTAACCAGCTATTCAGAGACACCCTTTACATGGACGGGACAAGACGTCTCAGCCATCTGTAGTACCAACCTTCTCTTTAAGGTCACAGAGGATGCGTTCCAGTGCTCTAAACTTTCCAGAGTCCAAGATCTGATCCATGTCTAACTTGAAGTCATTGACGCGAGAATATTGCTTGCAAAGCAAATGCAGCTCAAAATCTGTCATTACTGTCATATCTTCGAAGATAAGGTCAGGGTTAGCATCACAATGTGTGGGTTCCTGTCAGCAGAAATGAAGGGAAATAATGCAACACACAGTCCTGCTAGACACAGGAAAAAAACCCAAACAACCACCACACAGTAACATCCAAAACTTCTGAAAGAACAAAGTAGCACAACTAGACATGGACAAATGCCAGAGCGTGGCTCATGCAAGCAATGAAAGATGAACCCTGCAACCCCAGGGTTATAGTAGAGGATCACTACTTTGCAATTTAGCTTTTACAAGAACTTGTACTACCAGAAACTAAATAGTATTTGCTCAGCCTCCATAGCAATTACCTAGTTCTCATCAAGCCCTACGACCTTTCACCCCTGTATCAGACCTCTTCCCCTGAAGACACATTCCCTAAAAGGGAGGTCCAATCCTTGGATAGATGGTAGAAGACATGGGAAGCCCAGCCCAAGATGTAGGGTGGGGAGAGGGATGTCATGCCTGGAAGAAAGAGGAAAAGAAAAGCCATATCTGGAGAGCACAATGGTATGAGTAGGAATAAAAAGGGACAAAAATCCTTCAAAAACTAATGGGCGACTTCTTTCCTTTCCCCCAACCTTGACTGGCTTCATTTCAAACAAAGCTGCAGATACTCAAAGTCAGCTGCAACTTTCTTAGAGCGCCTGCTGTACATTCAATTTTTTTTTTTTTAATTTTTTTTTATACACTTTGGAAAGCAGCAACAATTTTCCCCAAACTCCACAGGCATTAACTCCAGCCAAATTACAACAATAAAAAAATCCTCAACAGTTCAATACTTATGCCTTCCCAATTTTAGTTCTGCATAACCTACCTTCCTTGCTACTCAGAAAATACTAGTAAACTCAAATGCACACCCATGATTTTCTTCATAAGTACTTGGGTTTTAAATTTTGGGGTGGAGGAAGAGGCATTAAGGGGGAGCTAATGAAAAGGAGATGACTGCAGTTCCACAACTGTTCTCTATATTCTAGTATCTGATACAAAAAAAAAACAACAAAAAAAAAAGTGTTAAACACATACAAAGCTTGATTAGAGCACTGGAGAGATGCAGAGAAATAAAAAGCAGCAGCAATTAATTAAGTTTTGCAAAGACACACTTTTGACCAGAAGACTGACAATAAAAAAGAAAATCTTTTGAAGTTGCATTACAAATTCTGAGAAATGAAGGATTTCTTCTGAATCTCCCCACCTTACCTTGAGCATAAGCATGGACATCGTTCTGAGCTTGTCAGTTGTGTAATACTGACGGTGCAGGAGGGGGTGATTAGCCATTTTCCTAAGTTGCATCATTACATTTCCCGTATCAGAGTTTTTTGCTGTAAGCGAAGACATAAGGTATATTCAGAAGTAGGACACAGATGTGTATCTGATGCATCTTTCTCTCTCAAGAGAGCTTTTTAAGGATTGAATTTAACATTTCACCTATTACTCGAACTTTGGAAGAATTCATAGAAGGGATATAATCAGTTAAAGAGTATTAAACATTTCTACAAAGTAAAGGCTTTGCAGTCCCATTTGACATATGTTTGGGCATGAAAAAAATCCCGCAATTGGAATTGAGACCCTCACATACCATTACTGTTAATAGTTTTCTTGAATTTGTTTAAGAGATCACAGTACAGCTGCTCCTGTTTCTCAGACATGGCACACAATTCAATGAGATCTTTTTTGGGAGGTAGTTGTTTAAGAACCTGACAAAATAAAAACATACCAGGTAAAAACTGTACTGTAGTGAACGGTCAGTAATTCTCTACTATCTTACAAGCCTGCTTTTAAGCTACTCTGTTTATCCTCTCTCCATTCCAACATTGGCTACAACTTTGCTGAGTCAGCAGTTCAAGTTAGAAATTCAGTACTTGTTTAGGATTAAAGATAACTCTCCTGTCAAGTACCATGGTGTACACACTCCAAAACTGCATGAAACAGTAACACACGCAATACCTGGAACCTACACATGCTAATCAGAGATATCCAAGCAAATGAGTATGCAACTGCACAGAAACATTTTTCAGATCGCTATTAGTTTTTTCCTTTCTTTTACACATGTAATTCTAAATAGAGGAATTTAAATAGGTTTTGGATTTTAGAATGAAAAAAAAAAACATTCTGCTGATAGCAAAATAACTAACACATATTCTAGTCATACATATGCTCAGATACACCCATGCACATCCACTGCCTTAATCCTTTCAGTTAAAATAAAATATCATCACTACAAAGTCACAAAAATTTTTGTGGTTATTGTGGAGGATTTCTCACTTCTCATCACTTAGCAGTGCCCCAAATCACCTTTTGGTGATCTTTCCTAACTAAAATTCCCAACTGTCAATAGTCAGCAAACAATGAGCATCAAAACCCAAAGCTGCACGTTTTTTACTTGCTAACTCCTGAAAAATGGCAGATAGCTCAAGTTCCTTGCTCTTCCTAGATAAACACCTAAAACTAGCACTCACAAAATCTGTCAGTAAATTTTCCTGTTCGCCTCAAAGACTATCAGGCATTTTGATAACACGACACCATTATTTTGAAGATAAAACATTACCTCATCTTTTACTCTTCTCAAGATGAATGGTTTTATTATCTGCTTCGCATGTGCAATCCTCTCCTTTTCATATATGCTTTGTTCTTCAGCACTCTTCTAAGGAAAGTATTGCAAGAATTCAATTACAGTGTGAAGTCTTCAGCTGTAAAAACACTACCTCAGCTATTCTAATGATAAATAACCCAGCCAGAACAGACAGATCTAACAGGACCATTAGTATTCCAAGACATTTTGTTATAACACATTTTTACTTTAAATGGTTTTATTTGAATCTTTCCTTTTCTAGATTTTCCATAGTCACATTATCTGTTTCCATATCAATATAAAACAGAAATTATGCAGCAACAGCAGTGTTCTTTAAAAAAAAGCCATTTTCAAGAAGGGAATATCTAATACTTACTGTTTTTGAAGAGAACATCCTCCGGATTTCACTTGTGCTACTGCTGAACATATGTGGCATTACAAAATTCAAGAGGGACATCAATTCCAACAGATTATTTTGAACTGGAGTCCCCGTTAGCAATAAGCGATTCTTTGCCTGTTTGTCCAAAGTGGAAGACAGCAGTGAGAAACATCAGCTGAACAGGTTAAAAAATAATATTGGCAGAAACAACACAGCTATGGGAAACTGGGAAAGTGAGCTTGGTTTAAATTATAACTATTTAAATCTAAAATATATTTAGATCTCATGGAGTAATTTCTTGTTTAAGTCAACAAAATGGTTTACAGACCTGTGGGGGAGCTGACCACATATCCATTTAAGACTATTCAAGAAGCCTAACCCAGATGTAAGAAAAGCCTTTCTGGCTCAATTAGGGCTTTTCTTTCTTGGTTGTTTTTTTAAAATTAATGTGCTAATTGCTGCTCCCACACTGTATCTTTTCTAATGTCACAAATATTTTTGCACAAGTTTTGAATTGGAAGTACAAGCCATAGTTTAACTGCTTAAGTATCACCTTCTTAAAAAGGCTTTTGATGAAAAAATAATCTTAAAAAATAAGTTGTCATAAGTGACAAATATATTATTACTGTATCAGTACTACTGCGCTAAATCAAAACAATTAGAGAAAGAGCTATACTCCAATTTTTTCTTTTTCAAAATGCTGCTGGCTGAGGCCACAAGCTGCAAGAAATAAGTATTTTAAAGCCAGCTTTTCTTGCACAGTCCTATCAGAGTAGGTTGACACCACCACAGTGTTTCAGCACAAATCATCAGAATAGCATCTTTACAATCTTTACTACTATGGGATGAAACTGGAAATACTGAAACTGAACCACCAGCACCATCACTGTAATGATGCTGTAAGAAATTTATTGCATTTCCTTGGGAGCTTGTCTCCCTGAAAGAGTTCACAATGCAAGATCTACTCCTAAGACTGCATCAACACTTATATCCACTTGTATTACTGTAGTTTCTGGAACATTATGCGTATATGAAGTTCAGAGTTAATACTCCATTCTCCCTCAGCCCATAACTACGAAACAGAAAAAACAAGAGTTGTCCCCCCTAATCCAACAATAACCAAACTTCTTACATTAATTGTCATAAGGTGCTGGTAGCGTACAGAGCTCATGTTCTTGAGCATATGACCTTCATCAAAAATTGCATAGTTAAGCTTCAACCTGCGAAACAGCCCTCGATCATCTGAGCTGCTAATTGCACAGTTGTATCTGTCAGAGAAAGAGATCATAGAAGAGACATTAAATGCAAATTTAATATGAACATACTGGTACCACAGTCATATGAAACTCTCTAAAATTGTTAAGAGCTATGGACAGAACACAAGTCAAACTGCCTAGAAGTAACCAATCATAACAGAGGTTACTATAGCAAATAATTACAGTTTACTTGACGAACCAGTGCTCTCCATAACACTTTCCAAAAACCTGTACGAATCAATTACAAAATAATATTAATTCATTAGTATTTATTATTTAGAGAGATAAATTGTATTTAAAGCATTTATTAATTCTAGTTAATCGCTACCTGAAAACAAATTAAGTTCCCTTCCCACCTCACCAAAGTCCAAACTTTGTTCGTTTTGTTGTACCACTAGAGGTCAGCAGGAGTTCACTGAATCTCACTTGTTACCGAATTACTGTACTTACGTAGTTACTATCACATTGAAATCAACAACTTTATTTTGAATGTCCATCCTGAGATGTTTCCGATCTTCTTGGGATCCTACGGAAGGACAAATGATAAAATAAGCACAATTACTTATATATAATTTATATACGTATAAAAATTAAGGCAGTATATAGAAACAGCCAGCAACAAATGCGTATTTAAATAGCTGTCTTAAAACAATGCTTCCATGTGCAATTCATGTTTGCTTAGGTTGACCATGTAAGCAACCGTATCATTAGGTTCATTTCTAAATTACATTCCTCACCATAGTAAAAAAGGACATTCAGCTCACGACACCACAGGTTAACTTCTCTTATCCAGTTATCTAGAAGACATCATTACAATAAAAATCATGTCAGTTATGCTTTATTACATCTTCAGACAATTCAGCATTAAACCAAACATCTGATTTTAAAGCAAATCCCTTTCAACTTTTCTGAAGGTTAAGAAACTTTCTGTCTAGACGCTGGAAAACAGATAATATTTAAGGAAATTAAACACCACACAACTGGGCTTTAAGTAACTCTTGCTTAACCAGCTTGCACTTTAAACTCTAACAGGATCTGCACGGTCTGTAACCTCCGTGTAAAATAATACAAAGCTTAATTTTCAGCTTGATTTCTTCCCTAGACAGTTAATTCCTAATCACTTCATTTGTCAGTACTTGCATCCAGGGGTGTTCCACCACAAGAGACAGCGCCTCTAGGATTTGGCAAGGACACCCCACAACTTGCCCCAGCTCCAGGTGTGCAGCCAGCAGAGCGGCCACCAGCGACGCTGCCATGCCCAAGGGGAAGCTGCCTGACAGCCAACACAAATGGTGACCCCAAAACGCTGCAGAAGGGGAGCTCTGGTAAATGCCACTTGAGCTGGGCCAGACCCAGAGCAGGGTCGAGGAGATGCCTTTGGAAAAACAACAGGAAAGCTGCAGGTAGACCACACATCCCGGGTACCCCTGTGCTGGTTGGCTTGGGCCAACCTGCCACTACCATTCATGAGCCTCTACAACTCGCTTCACAACTGCACCTTCATTTACACCTCTGCATACCCCTCAGCTTTTAAGTAATGTGCATTTCTAAGAGTTATTTTTTAAAAATGGATTCAAGTGGACTTTAAAAGCAGACTGAAAATGGCAATTTCAAACTGATGTTGAACAACCAGAAGCTTTTCTGATGTGTTAAAAGAAATTTCTGAAGCCCAAATAAGTATTTTACATTGAAAGCAGCATTTTGATTCTATATTTAACTTGCTACTTTCTCATTTCTATAATCACTTCACAAAACCAAATTTAGCTCCAGAGAGTACTAGTTTCTGCTCAAATTTATCAGCTTTGCTGACGTATTTTATTCCACCATATTCTTCTTGCTTTCAATTGAGGTCATTAAACAATCAAATACACAACTAAAAGATAGTGAGCCTCATCATTTTAGGATTTTCATCTGCTTTGACAGATTGTGTGGAGCAAAGAGTTAAAAAAAGACACTGAATGTCTCAAATGCCATGAAACCTAATCCTAAGCACAGCCTGAAGACTGGGAATTCCAGCCAATATCCAGTAAGTAAAAAGACTACTTTGATAAACAAGTTCAAATTGTAACAAGCAGCTTTATTTTTTGTGAAGCATACAGAGCATATTTTTTAAAATTCCATGTTAGGTCTAATTAATTCAGAACAAGCATGCCTTCAGTATGGTTTGCATTCCAATACAAATTACTTCAGTTGAGTACCACCATAAGAAAATTGGGTTTTCTTTCACAGAATTATCTTTGTTTCACAGTCCGTCCATGTTTGTTTTTTTTAATAAACAAATAATTTTGAAGCTTGTAACTTACCTAATGTTGAAGCTGGCACAACTATCAAATGGGGACCCTTATTGCCCTCTTGGTAGAGATGAGCTAGAAATGCAATAGCTTGAATTGTTTTTCCTAAGCCCTAAGAGAAAACAAATCAATTTAAACAAAATTTACAATCTGTAGAATATAATTGTTTCGTGCTCATAAGACAATTACAGTGTAGTCAATGTTAAATAAAGATTACAAATCTGCACAGAAAAAAATGTTGTGTTTAACTGCTTTGTTTTACAGAAGACAATTCCTTCTTCAGTACAATCACAGTCAAACTCAATTATCGTTACAGCTCAACATTCAAGCATAAGCGATTCATCTTTTCCATTTATGCAGCTTTTCCATGTGTCCATGAATCTTGGGCTACCTTTGACTTTCAAACTGAAAGTAAGAGCTCAGCAGTTTCTAAACATCTGGAGAAACTGTTTGCAATTTAAGTTATATTGGCTAAAACAAATGACTTACAATTTGCTTGGGATTTCCAGGAAATGAAAGAATTTAACAGTCATTTTTGCTAAACTTTTAACAAGTTCTTAAATAATCAGTTTAACATTTACCATTTCATCAGCCAGTATGCCATTCAACCCATGTTTATGCAGCAGTGCTAACCAGTTCAAACCAATCTTCTGGTATGGCTTGAGTTCCAAACTGTTAAAAAGTCAAGTTTAACATGTTACCATCTTTTAGCTGTTTCTCCATGAAACACAACTTTATACTTACATTAATCAGACAATGCTAAGTTTAACTACACCTATATTTTAATGCACTCTAGATCTCTTCATATAGTTAAAAACAGAACCTTTATTTAAATCAGTCACCTAAATACTAAACAGCACTTCTGAACTTTCCAAGTAATTTATCCGAATTTTCATACATCTTAAAATGATCAAAGTGAATACTACAATAAATATCTTTCTCCTAAGATCAGTGACCCACAACCAGTTAAAAGCATTTACAAAACTGCTAATTTTTAAAACAGACAAAAAGTTAAGTGGTGTTTAGCAGCTGCATGAGAGTTTGTTCTGTTGTGCAATTACTGGTGGTATAGGCACCAAACAAAAAAAAAAACCAAACACACACAACTCACAAAACACACTCAACAGCAAGTCACTTAGTTCACCATTTTTTGCCATTGATAAGCTCCCTCCAAACAGTTCCCTCTTCCTCTCAGGTTTTATTTTGACATAGATGAAAATCATTTTGCTATTTACCACTAACAGCCTCCAAGTCTAATCCAGGTTGCTACTTCAGCCATTCCCACTTCACTCCTATGCTTCCTAACCCTTTGGATAATTACCCCCACCATACCCATTCTCCATTCCTCCTAAGCTCTCTCTTTATTCCCAATATCCATTTGGAGATCCTTAACCAATTTACCTCTCTGAAATAAGTCCTCCCCTGCAACACATACCCCGTGCCACTCCCATCAGCTACAGAGGCCCAGATCACTTTGTACATCTGAGCTTCCTGACCAAGGTCTTCAGTCCAGCTGATAAACTTTTCAAGTTTGCTCAGATTCATTTCAATTTGGCATCTTTGAAATACAAGGTCCCTCAGTAGAGAAGTACTTTTGTCTAGTCTCCTGTTTGAAGTAAGTTGACAACTTATGACGCCATCATTCCAGGTTGGCTTCTACATTCACCATAAAGTGGAGCAAGTAAGATAAGGCACTGAGCACTGTTATATCTTTCTGGCTTTACGTTTTTATCCTCCTCATCAGCTTTCCCCATACACTTAAAAACATTTGTTCGATTCCCTCAAGTGTCGCACATCACTGTCCAGGTCACTGAGAGCTGCAAAGTACCAAGCATTTGCAACTCTACTTTCAGAGACCAGAGTTTTGAAAATCCCAGCCTTCAAGCACACCCTATTATCTGACAGCCTGGTAAGTATAAAAAAGGGAAGGATACCTCTGATTCAGGATGGCAGGTTGCTCTATGTTCCATCCACATCCTCCACCTTCAGTAATCCGGGTCACTTGTTTTGTCAGATTATTGGAAATGTCTTCACATTTATTCATCAGCTTTAGAACCACGTCCCTCTCTTTCAGCAGTATCTTGCAGTTCCACACTATGTCTTCTGACAAACCAGTAGTCTTAGTCATTTTTGTAAACTGCAAAATAATAATAATACCAAAAAAATACTATGAACACTGGTAATAGCAAAGGTGCTACGGTGAAAATCCACAGCTGCTGCAGGCAGCAAGTAATTCAAGTGGCAACCCAATCTCCTCTCAAAACTTCAAATATCTTTACACACTTGGCCCACTGCAAAATTGTATGAATCCACACTGAAGGTCACCATTACAGCTCCTCACATGGTAAAACATATCCTAAAATAAAAGCGACAATTTCTCTGAAGAGTTTCTAATATAAATTACGGGAGCTTCAAACTCTTAAAAAGCAAGCTTTGAAGGCCAGCCCCACAGACAGAACAAAACCACAGAAGGAAGAAAAAAGTGTACTGATTAGCATTACATCTCCGCTTAAGCAATCCCTATTAGATACTAAAGATGTAAGCATAATGTATGCATCAAGGCAAACCAACCTATAAAGGAGGCTATTAAGATTTTGTAATGAATCTGTCCAGAGCTCAGCACTACTTGGTCCCAGTTCTGACTGTACCTCAAATGGCACATTCAACCTGGACTTAGGCAGACTGGAAAAAAAAATACCAAGACTTAAGAGATAAGAAGTTTCCCAAAACTTCAGATTCTTCTGAATTTTATAGTCAGGGATCTGTTAAAATTTAGCACCAGACTTCACAGGCATATATCCTCCCAGAAATCCTTCCTTAAAAAAACAGGGGTCTTATGATCCAGCTATTGCATGTTAAGTAAGTGATCAATATTGCCCCACTGTAGAGTAAAAACAAGCTTTGTTAAGCTGAAGTATACAAGCAGGCTATGCTTTGACTCCAAAACCAAATAGATTTATTATATATATAATATATATATAAAAAATATATCTAAAATGAGTGACGCCCTCTACTGGCAGCCTGTCGTTACAGTTTTGGGGGTTTTTGGTTTGTGGTTTTCTTCCATTTGAAACAAAACCCAGAAAGTTTACCAACACTCACAGGTTAAACCAGGCTAAGGCACACACGTCAACACTTGCAAAGAAGTTTTCTAAATAGACACCTCTATGTAGAAATAAAAAAGAGACGTAACTAACATGATTTTTAATAGGCTATTAAAAAATTTCAACATTTGCTTTGGTGCCTAAAGCTTTGGTTGGCATGAATATAAATCCTGTAATCTATAAATAAAGGCGTGGACAATGAAGCCACCTGTTATGAACAAAAATCGTACTGTTTCGTGTCAGCACGCTAACATTCGTCTCCAAGTTACAACAAGAAAATCTCCAGACAGAGGTTTACATCTGCAACATACCGTGTTATGCTGTTGTGCAGAACACAGAGCAGACCGTGGGTGGCCTTTGGTTTATGAGATGTTCTGACATCCTCCCAGCTTCATTTTTTCTCAGAGGAGGTCCAAAAATGTGAGGCCATCACAGACACCTGAAGCCATGAGCTTCCCCAGCACGCTTTGAAGAAAGGTCCACCAGGGTCCTGGGTGCAGCAGTGCCCTACAGTGCACAACCACCACGCCCTGCTAGGGCTTACTTTACACCTCTTCAAGGTGATTTAGGGCTTCACTTCACTGCTACAGGGTGAAAGTCAGCCCCAACCTTGACCAGCAAACCCCAGTTCCACTTTAAGCAGCTCCCATTTCTAACCTGATACATTTGCTGCTTCCCTTCAGTTTGCTTTGGCGCAAGGTGCTTCTGGTTTCCTGCCAATTTGGACTTCTAGCAGTTTGCATTTGTGCAGCCAGACAGAATGAGAGATGATAAAAAAGCTACCCTCCTCTGAGTTTATATCTTCTAGCTCACATACTATCGCAGTATACAGAATATGACGGACAAACAACTCCATCTTTGACTGCTCAGAACCGCCATTCCCCTAAAAGTGATAAGCTAAATACATGCTATGTCAGAATTTCTATGTAATAGTTTGCAGCAGTTTAAACTGTGTTTACTCCTTAGAATTTGTAATTTTTAAAAACAACTGGCACTACTTAATTCACTTAAAGTCTTTAAATGCTAAAAGAGATGGGTTATTTTGTGATAGAATAATATTACGAATGAAAGAAATGAGAGGATATGGCAAATCTCATACAGATACATCCATTTCTATGCTAAAAGGAAATTCAAGCAGTTAACAACTGTAAACCTTAAAAATAAGACTCTAAATTGCATCACACTCCCTCCAGTTTGTACCCCTGCATTTACCAGAGGCAGCATAAAATTGCATTGGGCACCCATGACAGGCCAAGGAACAGAACCCCTCCCCAGACCCCAAAAGCTGAGCTGGGCTCCTTCTAGAGCCAGACTTGGCTCTGCCCTTGTTTCTCGGCACACACTGAGCGCAGGCAGGGACTGCCATTACACGACTGCGATTACAGCCTGTCCACACCAACCAACTCCCACAGTCTGGAAAAGAGCGCGCTGTTAAAACATAATTAAGTGCCAAAGAGTTTTTTAGAGGAGTGAGGGTAAGGAGGAAGGGTGATGATGGGTGCCCAGAAGTGCTTCCACCAAGGAAAGGAATTGTGCTGTGTGCCAGCCTGCAGTGTGTGCCACTGGAGCGTCACCAGGTGTCACTCCTACAGCACAGGCACCTGGGGCCACCCTTCCAAACCTCCTGCCCTCAGAAAGCAACATCCAATTTAAGTTGTGAATGCAAGGAGTACTCCGAAAGGCGCTCTCTCAGAGCACACATCCCAATCCATTTTGTTGCCTACTACTCTCCCTACACACACTACACATTTTTGAGAGGCCGCAGGTCCTCACACTGAGGAACATCACTTCTCCGAATGAGAACACAGAGACGCGAAGCCTCAAGGATGTACCCAAGCTCTCTTTGTGCAAGTTAGCGCTTGAGAGGTGGCACTGCAGCGACTCATCTCCAGCACTGAGGACTGGGTAACACCAGCCTCCTGGAAAATGTCATCGATCTGCATTTCTAAACTGCCAAAGGAATTCATACTTGTGAGCAAGGACATTTTCTGCTCTCTCCATTTATTTTTTGAGAACCATGTTTGTTAATTTCTTTCTGTGTATTTTAAGTGTTATTAGATCAAGTTAAATATCTGCTTCAAATAATAAGCACTTTCAAATATTCTTAACTTCACAAGCCTGAAATTTGTTTAAATCTATCTGAAAAAAATAAAGTCTTAAGTGTGACCTAAAAAGCCTGTTTAGAATAAAAGAAGCCATTTTAATTTATGTTTTCCTGGAATAAGACATTGAATTTCCAAATAAGTAGGCTTTAGTCTTAATCTCAGGCTGAGAGCCTTAAAATCTCCCTCAATTCTTCTAACAATGAACAAGTGGCAACAACTTCCAGGGCTTTACGCTGCGTTGCAAAAGGCACCGTTACAGTAAAAAGAGACCTTAAAACTAAGCCAATTTCTTTAATGCCAAAACTGAATCAGCTCTCTCCGTTATTCTACCACTCATTCATTAGTAGCAAAATCACTGGGTCACTGAGCTACTGGATCTTTATAAACAACTCAATCCACAGTGATATGAAACATCTGCTATAAAATTTGCTTCACTCTACTACTCTGGGCAAGTATTCACAGCTCTACATAAACATGTAGTTGCTGACAGCAGCAATCTTTATGAAAGACAAATTTTGAACACGAACAGGCCCATGCAGCTTTTCTTCTATTAAATGTTTTACACAGAGAAAAGGAGGAGAAACAGCCCTGTAGCAAATATTTCTGCAAAGAATTAAGCTCAGGCAAAATCCAACAAGTTTAGAAAGGAACAGCCGTATGACAGATGTTCTGTGAGGAGCCAAAGGCTTGGGGCAAAACGGATTTCTTTTGCAGCATACCTGCACCTCATTTTTTATCTTTTTTTCTTTTTCAAATATTCTCCTCTTGTCTCCCCCGCTTGCAATGCGACATACAAAGATCATTTTGTTTTCCTTAAAAATCTGTTTAGTATCTCTTACTGTTTTGTGGTAAAACATTTCACACACCGAATAATAAGTGTTATTGTTTTACACGTACTGAGGAAGTTCTATTCTGCTCTGAAAAAATGCAAGTGGACCTTGCATATATCAGCGAAGGAGGTTTCAGAACACATACAAAAACACAGCAATTACTCTGTAAGAGGGCCTATGCAGTTACCGTTCTAAAATCCAAAGCACGAATAAATTAAACCAAGAAAACCTGCCGTAATGCACTGGAAAGTTCTCACCAGGACATTGCTCTTACCAGGTCTGATGTCTTGCAGTTAACTGAAACTGCATGAAACATGAAGGTAACAAAAAAACCATGGGAAAGATTTGAAAGTAACATCCCAGTGACAGTAGATAATCTACTTACCAAGAGAAATTCTTTTCCCTTCTGTTGTGGGTTGTGGTTTAGCCTTCTGATGCTTTACTTTTTGTTAATAAAAACACAGCAGCTCGCTCCACTAAAAATATGGCTGCATTGCTCAGCTAGCAAAACCATGCTAGAGACTGAGCTGCAGCAGATTAAAGGAAAAAATGACTAAAAAAAGACAACAACTATTTCTTGTATGAAAATGAAAATATCCATGCTGGCATCTTCAATCATGGAGCTACCCTGGAAGCTGCTGCTGCTGCTGCTATTCAAGCGTCTGCAGTAAAGGTCCTGCCACGTTCTTGCCTCCTGCATGGGTTTTCAGCTGCAAGAGCTCAGAACAGGCTAGCAAACACCTCCTTCCCAAGTGAAAGCTCTAATTTCTTCTTCTGCAGTGAAATCAACCAACTTTCTGTGCTACAGAGTGAGTGACAGTAATGTCAGCCAATCGGCTGGAGTTTTCCAGGAAAATCACCCCTTAATTCATTCAAAATCAGGTCATATGACACTATTTGAAATGCTATTGGCTTATGAGGAACATAGCATTTTAGCCTAATCAGGATAAGGCCACCCATCTAAGCCTCCCTAGGCTGAAGCCACCTTGACTCTAGGCAGGCTGGGGATAGGAAAGGAAGAATGCAGACCTACCAGAGCCTCCCAGCTGTTAAAGGGCCGGAGTGCTATTATCTTCTGAGCCTTTTTCTGAGAGCACTGAGGAATCAAAGTCAGTTCGCTGGGGGATGCATCCTGCAGGAAGCTGAGGATTTTTGCTTTGTAGCTATCCTCCATCACTTCGTCGCCACTGCTGTAGTCCTCGTCAAGGGAGCTGCCACCATCTTCAGAAGCTGACTCGTCCTCTGAGTCTTCTGTTTCTCTTTTAGTACTCCAAACGCTCCTTTTGCCTTTGTCCTTTTTCTGAAAGCCATTCTGCTCTTTCCCAGATTTCTCCTTTGGCTCCTCTTTGCTCTCTTCAGTTCTGCTCTTGGTGGAGGCTTTGGTCCAGTCAGAAGCTTCGCTTCTGGGAGGAAACTCCATGCCTATGCACGTAATATAGAAGGCAACATGTCAATGTATAAGGGTCAAGGACAAATGAAGACCCACGGTTCTTCCAAATTAAAACCTATATAGATATAAATCACAATTCTGGTTTTTAATACATAAAAACTCAGCAGGTGTTACTATGGGAAAAGAAGAGGGAAACAAACACCATGCAAGTCTATTTAAAACATGTAAACAGTACCAAATTAGTAAGATGAGCAATGCCAATTTGTACACTGCTCAAATAGCAGAAAGTTTTAAGTAACTGCCTTAAAATACATATGATCAATGCTATGTAATACGTGTGAGCTGCAGAAGCTCTGAGGTAAGAGCAGATAGTTAAGAACCCAGTGCATTGCTGAGATGAGATACTGGTCCCACTCCACCTGACCCCAGAGATAGTAATTCTGCTGATTCCAGAAGACAAGCCTAGTTTCACCATGAAAATTATATATTCTTTACATTTTAATGCATCTGAGAACAACATTAGAGATGGGACAACAAAAAACATCCACTTGTTAAAGAAACTGGAAGAATGAGGTATTTCCGACCAAAATAACCCTACTGTCTTAAAGTAAGATCACGGTGATTTAACAGACTGTGCGCAAGTCATTTCCAGAAGTGACTTGTATGGGTTTTTCTTCCTTCTTTGGAAGAAAGCACTAGCAAGGCTTTCTCTCCTGCCCCATCCCAGCTTGCTGCTGATTGACTTGAACACCAGTATCTGCCCCCTCAGAAGCAGCAGCAGCAAGGACCCAACCACATGCATACCAATAGCACTCTCCACTTGTAAAGCATTCAATTAAGAATACTACCCTATCTCAAGAATACCTAAACAGCTGATACAGCAAAACATACTTACATGACAGCTGTGTAACACTCTGAAAAGTAATTGAGTCATTAAATAGAATTTAAGTTATAACTCACTCATTTACCTGGAATGATAGTTCTTGCTCCCTATCACATTTAATGCACTCATGTTTATAAACTGGTTACATAATTTAAGGCCTATTTCTAGTATTTTTGTCTCCTATAATATATTTTAAAAGGACAAAATAGCATATGTCACTTGTCACTTACGCAGTTATTTGCAATCAGATTTACAAATTACTACAGTAAAAAAACAAAACTTATTTTTAAACAAGCATTTCAAAATATATTTTGATATACCCATAGGTAATTACAACTTCTCATGTAAATGTGTATTAGCAAGGCAAAGATATTTATCTCTACTTAGACAGAGAAAGATAAAATAATAATGACACTAAAAAACACACCCAAAAAAAGTTTTCTTCTTTTATCCTCCCCACAATACTAATTTCAAATATCAGTGCAAGTTTCTAGGAACAGTCATTGCTGGACACTTAAAAATATTTGTATTATAAGTCTGTTTGTTTTATCTTGGGATAAAATAGATTATAAATCTGTCTTCACCCTCATCATCTTCTGCAAAGACTCTCAGGGCCTCCAGTGCTTCATGAAACACCCAGTTATGTTCCTGAAGTACATCCCTTAGTTCCTAGTAAAAAGACAAGAAATTTTGTATTGTGGTAAGATAAGCAACAACTAAATTTCTGTGCATAACATTAAGGCATTAACAATTTTAACTGCACAAGGCAGAGAAAACCCCTGTAAATCAGACGATACAAAATAAAGGAAATCAAAAGGAGAAAACCCTTCAGTTTATCCTTACACACACAGTTTAGGCAGAGCTGCGCTCCAATTTTCAAAAGGGTAAGAACACACAAAACCAAGATTTAGTTCCAACAATTTAAAGCACAGTATTAAAATACCCTGGCCAGTTGCTGACTACCTTCAGGTACTAAACTAATACAAAGCGCATGGTATATCTGGTCATCCGGGGAGAAGAGTGAGAGGGATGGATAATTTCCCCATGCATTTTTATAATAGGTCATCAAATCTGACCATGCCAGACTTGCCACAGGACCAAAAAAGCAGGATGAGAAGTTCCATATAGTCCTGATTACAACCAACTGCTCTCAGTTCAGGGCAAGTTACATTTCAAAAGCAGCCACAGCAAAGACCTTCCTATCCTGGGCTTTTTGCAAGAGTGCTGCTGGTGTAAGGACTGTTTTGTCTGGACTATTGACAGCTGCAATAGGAGTAAAAACCTGATGTGCCATCAGGAGACATGAGCTCACCTCCTTATCCAAGCCAGGGAATGTATTTTGCAGCTTCTTCACAAGCATCTCTTGCCTCTCCCATTCTCTTTGGGGCTCTGATTCATCCAGCTACATTTAAAACACAAAAAGAAATCTATTAGGTTTAATGTAAATACCAAGCACAGAAACAGGAAAAAGGACCCAAAACAATTAAAACCAATCAAGCCTAATCAATATTGCTTATCCTTAAAGAGCCACTCTGAATGAAAAAAGCTGTTAAGACAAATGCAAGCTGCAGAAGTGATTCATTGTACATAGACAGTGCTCAAAGTAAGACCAAAACTTTCATAAGCATAGAAGATGTCTTCTTCAGTCATGAAAGACTGGCATTCTTTACCTGATAAACGTACACAGTGCAATGTTACACGTCAAAATATAAATAATTAAGAACCATCTACTTTGTATTTCTTTAAAATAAAAAGTTAGTAGCGATTCTGGATGATATTTAAGGCAGAAGATGGCAGGGTTCACAGTCAGCCAGTTAGGTTAGATTACCAAGCGAGCAGTATTTAACCCACCAGAGTCTATAAACATGTCAATTGGTGTGTTTATATGAAGATTTACAGGTAAAAAATCCACATATACTGTATCACAGCACCATGGAGTCACATCAAAAGCTGGCAAAAGTTTTCATCAACAATAGTTTCACCAACAGCTGCTACCAGCCTGCAAAGAGGAAGGTTTCTTATGAAAGAGTGCCAAAACTTTGACATGCCACAAGCTGCTCTTATGTATTCACCACAATTATGCAAGTTTCTTCACTGAGCTTTCAATGTGAAATAGTTACAGATCTACTTATCTACAGCAGAGGTGCCAACAGGTTCAATCAATATTTACTTTGCTGAATGATGCTATTTGCTGAAAGAGAACCAGATCCACTCTGGGTTCCTTTCCTCAGTGAGTCTATGGTATCATTTAAGAGTACAGCTACACTATGTACAGTAGCTGGCAAAGTCTTAGGAACCAGCAGAAAACCAAAAGTGAGGAAAAAACCCAAACCCTGCAAGTTTTGTCACTATGATTCTCTGTTACAAATTGTAGAAGCCCATGTTTTTTGGCTTTCTTTTTCCCAATCCTTGCCCTCTTAACTGTAATGGAACTGTTACGCACAGAAATCAAACTGCTCTGTGAAACCAGGTCCAGTGAAGCACTGTTTGCTAGGCTGGCCAGGTAATAATTCAGTAAAGTCTCCTTTGTAAAGTAACCCAGGGGTTGGTCTGGTGAGGAGAAACAAACCCAAACCCCAGCAAATCTTACCTCACAGAATTCACAGCTCTGCTTCAGGACACAGAGGAATATCTGAGTAATATTATTTTTGCTTTCATGGAAAACTCCACGTTGCTTTTATTTTGCTCTGACCAAGGACAGTATTTGGTTATATTTCACCAGAAAGATAGTCACCATCCTCCAGTATTTACTGTAAAATTTCCTTTCTCTACCATAAGTGATTTGCAAGGATGTCTACTGAGATGCCTGGGAGCTGGTCTCATGACAGCACTGTAAGACTGTGCCTTAATTCTGCCAAATACCAATCTGAATGCACCAGGATCATTACACAGTTCCTATTTATTAGCCGAGGTTAAAGTAATCATTCCTTTAAACACAACAAATTCATTCTTTTTAAAGACTTCCCCAAGTCATAAACATGTACATAAACAATATCACCTTGATAACACAGAAGAACAGTAGCTACAGATGTTGAACTTCATCTATTTGAGGAAACACAAGGAGTGATCCGAGGAGACAAGATGATCCACAGCTTGTAACTGCACTGATGTTCCCTGTACCTGAATGGTACTCAGCACCTCCAACACTGCTGCCTGCCACTGCCCACTTCCACAAAAGCAGTGAACAGGCTATTGGGATACAAACCCACAAACACTAAAGAACAAAGCAGGTAATTACATTCAGAATGAAAGGAAAACCTCATTCAGATGGCAAGGTTTTGATAGGATTTTCTGATAAAACACACCAAGTTCATGACACCACAGTCATTGACCAAGTCGGTAATTTAACTTATTTTACAATGCACAGAGAGGAAAAAAATAGTACTTACATAATCAGCTTTTGGCTTTTTTGTGACTTTCTCATTTCTGTTTTCACAATTTGTGGGAGAACCTTTTAGTTTCCTTTTACGAGAGGCAGCTTTAAAAAGAATCGAGGCAGAAGAGTTAATTACTTCCATTAAATTCACCCCAAAACAGTAGGATCATTCAAATCAATGCTATAATAGCTACTTATTAACTGCACAAGATGTTTATGAGTCTCCATAATAGTTTCCTATTATGGTCCACAAATACATTGAAACATCAAGCAAAGCAGCAGCTTGAAAGTAAATGTTTATTTACCTCAGAGTTTGCTTTAGCAGTTTGGCAATTAATCAAGAAATTACCTCCCATCCGTAACAGCTGAAATAGCTTTTTTTTTTTTAAAATAATTGCCAAGTGGTTTACACACATGTTGCATAAAGGTGTATCTCTGTCTGTTATTAGTCAAGCTGACTGCTTTTGGAAAGTTGGTATTTAATCAAGGCTGAACGCCAATTGTGAGTTGGAATATGAACATCGCTGCCGATCTGCGAGTGCTGATGACTGATTTCTGACTCAGATGCACACCAGAGAGGTTATCAACAAACAGTTTTCAACATTAAATCCAAATACCTGAAAGAAAACTATGCACATTGTCAGTGATAACTATATATGAGTTATAATCATACTACTTATTAATAGTTCATACAAGTCAGAACTTTCTGAATATCTTTGGGCCTTGGTGCTTGTCAAGAGATCACCATCTCAGCATTAAGACCTGCCCACCCACACACACACAAAGCACATTTGCTTTCCAATCCAAAAGACTGCCTGGATGGTCAAAACAGTTTTGGGTGAGGAAAATTAAGTAGCCAGACAGGAACCATCCTTGGATTGGAGGCAGGGCACACCAGCGAAATCCCTGTTCTCTCTAAAAATGTTATTAGCTATTATGAGCAATGAGAAAAGCAGCTCCAGAGTTTCAAAATCTAGAGTTATCTGTAATTACTTCCACTGTTATTTGCTGCTAACACTTACTTATTACTGTGACTTCTCCCACCATTACAAAAGAAACAATAATTTCTGACTGTGCAAAAAGCAGTGACCATCAGACAGGTTTACATGAAGTTTCAGCTCAGAAGCACCCTCACCGATTTCATGGTTTAAGACGTACAGAAAACAACACCAGAAACAACTCATATGCACCAGGTATTGCTGTAACTTCACATTTTTCATTCATACACATATTTTCAGTGTGTCACCTCTAATCTTCATACCTATAAGACAGCTGCGATGCTTCTTGTTTTAGCTATAAACTACTGAATTCAAGCTGTAAATACAAGTTTTTGTCATTTTGAAAAGACAGAAAAAATTTGAGAATGACTTGGCCACACTTTTTTAACAAAGCCACGCTTCACAAAACTGTATCTTGTCCCTGACCTCTCACACAGTCAACACTTCACAACAAGTAAAGTATATCATAAATTGACATAGATAAGCAGATGTTCAGTAATGTCTCAATTATTAAAAAATGTGTCCAAAATGAGGTGATTTATACCATCACTTTCAGACATGCTTACTCCTAACCAAATATTTTATACAACAGCTGTGATTAGTGAGAATTTTGCTGCCAAGATTCTTCTGTGGGCTCGTATTGAAAGGACGTGAAACAGCGTTCCTGAATCAACACAAAAATGGCCAAAAGGCAGGGCCTACATAACACAAATCAAAGTGTTTTAGTTCAAACATTGTGAACTAAAACAAAGTTTAAGGATATAGCTTATTAAATTGGTTTAATATTAATCTAAACTCTTGAAAAGTAATCATAATCTTCCAGGAAGGGATTTTCCAGGAGCAGCAGCACTCAGTAGCGAACCCCTCAAAAGTCTGCCAGCTTTAGTTTTCTATTGCCAGCATCCAAGAACTCCCACCTGATAATATACAGCAATAACCTCAAAATATTGGGCTGGTTGGGGAAACAAACCACAAACAAAACACAAAAGCAACCCTTCATTAGAGTTAGCTTAATGTTTTAAAGTTTACCAATAATAATTAAAAAAAAAAATCTGTGAAGTTGTATATAAAAACTGGAAGATGAAAATAAGAGGAGGAACTGAATTAGCAAAAAATCATCTACTTTAGACAGGGAGTAAAACTCTTCTCCCTCAGCACATGAGCTTCCTAGATATATTGCTTCCAAATCTATAGGATACTACATGAAAAGACACATGAACCACTTAGAACAACTAAAATAATCAAGAATGAGCATAGTTTTTTCCATCGTATCCAAACCATGAAGATCTCTCCAGAAAACCACGGACAACGGAACCGCAAACAGATGGAGACCGCTGGAACGGACCAGCATTTTATAGTGACATTAATATTCATACCAACCTTCTACTCTTCCCCCATCAACCCCAGTAAATCAGTCAAAAAGATTGATTTAAGACAAGACATGTAACCGTGGATTGAGGTGATGTCAAGAAACAAACCCAAAGCCAGGAATTATGAACTTTTTACACGCTTACCACCTTGTACACTCCCACATCATGTATTGGGGTCTTTCATTTGTTTCTTTTGATAACAGCATGAGACTGCCTAAATCCAGATACAGAGCAAAAATGCCTAATGAAGCTCTGAGGGCTCAAAGGCATGGTTTGAGGGATGTTTTGTCAGAGAAACATGGGGATTTGTCTAATGCTTAAGACTAACAGTTCTTATCCAGAAGTACAGGCAAGTCAGCCTGAAGAGAACACTGCAACAGGCCTTGAGTGGCTACATACTCCAGTGTATTCTTTCCACACCACCAGATTTCTCACCCGTTGTTACGGTTTAAGGCTTAACAGCCTGAAACAGAAGGACAAGTGGTGTCTGTAGGAGCCTGGGGGGTCAGAGATAAGTACTGTTCCCTCCCCTTTCTGGCCACAGTCTAAAACATCGAGGAGGCCCAAGGTTTCACGGGCCTTTCTGGCACGGCTGGGCCTACCTCCACGTGTTCAGCAGCATCCACCACCACCTGCTTCTCGGCACCACTGCGGTCCCTGGTGACAAGTCACAGCAGCCACGAGGCACTGTTCGGACACTTCCACTCATGACTAGTGGGATTGGGTTGCGTATATAGTTAAATATCCTTTGTCCCTTATTAATTCCTTTTTCCTTTCCCCTGTTGTTTTTCTTAAACTTGTTATAGTCTTGACTTCCAACCTTGTGTGATGCATCTCTTCTCTATTCCTTTTTTTTTTTAAATCCTTCCCTGGGAGGGTGGGGGACAATAGAGAGAAAATCCTGCTCCCTGGGCTTGCCCTGAGCCCTAAACAGAGACATCTACATCATTCAGAATTACTATTGCTAACCCATCAGTATTTGCCTCAGCTTTTGGGCAAAAAAAGGAACCAGCAAGAACAAGAATCACTTAAGGACCCACATGTAAAGCAATCCTGAGCTTCGCAGAACAAATTGCTCCTTTTTGTTCTGTTTTTGGATTTTGATCTGCATCCTCTTTTCATCTTTTCCCTTGTGAAGCCTGTAATTTCAGTTTTGTGTTATTACAATACACAAATGCTATAACTTTTAGCGTATGCTTTACCACTTTTTAAATACCTCCCAACCAAGTTTATGTCACTGAATTAGCTACAGCTTCTGAATTTAATTTTTTGTCAGACATACCTTCGTCATTGAACTTCAAACCAGCAGCTATTGCTTCATCCATTGTGCGTGCTGATTCTATCAACTGCAAAACAAGAAGTCAACTGTAAGTGGTGAGATTTAATCAAGTTGAACAGAGAAGGACAGTGATAGATCAGCATGACTGAAATATACACCAAAAAAAAAAGTATTATAAAATCCAATAACAAAATTAACAGGTACCAAAGTAGCTAGACTGATCACGTACACTATATTTGGGAAACTTTAAAAAAGTTTTCTAGTGGTTTTATTACATACAATCTCATTTATTATCGCTTTTTTCCCCACTTTACAAACATACCATGCAGGTATGCAGGTTTACTTAAAAGCTTTTTTTTCAGAAACTACTCAGTGTTACTATCACAAAACCAAATAATCCAAAAAGCTAATTTCTGAATTCATAAAATGCCTGTATACTGTTATGTCACATTGGCCAATTTTCTGAAAAGTACATGGCTCAAAGTTTATCTATATTTCTTTGCAGTCCTAGAGTCTCTCTCCATCCCTGTGTATCTCAAAATAGATTGTTTTTTTAAAATTAATTGGATGTTGAGACTTTAAGAGTGCTTTTTGCAAGTGAGATAACTGCAACGGAAGCAAATGGCCTAAAGGCTACAAATGTGAAAAAACTCACAAAAAATGACGTTACGAAGAATCCTGATTTCCAAGTATCTGTCCACGTTTATAAACAGCACCTTACAATTTTGCTATAAACACACAATTTCCTTTTCAAAAGGCTCATTAGTTTTCCTTAATAGCCTTCACCAGTTGCATAGGGTTCCTCAGGACAGGCCATTCCAGATCCCTCATGAAGGGACAATCCATTTGCCTAACATTCTTCTGTCTTCAAAAATGTTGTGGATATGTAACTGTAGACAAAAATTTGCCCAGCCTTTAAGTACTACAAAGTTCTGCTGATACAGGCGCTATCTTATACTCTCCTGAGAATAAAAACCATCAGTACTACATACCACTGAGTGGTTACAACAGCACTGAAGCCACAAAACTGCAGTCAGACACACAATGTGCCACTTCTAGCCAGTTTCTAAGCTACGATGAACTGTTATCACTCTCTGGTTTAAATACATTCTACATGGACAAAAATTGAAACTTGATACATTCTGGACATCTACAGTATATACTTTATTACAACATACAGGAGAAAAATCCCCAAACTGCTATTTGCAGCCTCTTCTTTCTTCCCACAGTAGAAAGCCTAAATATATAGCTTGATCTACTGGGAATAAATATGCAGCATGGAGCACCAGTAAGATTTCTAAAATTCTTGAATAGCATTTCAATAACCAGGCAACTTAACAGATTGATTTGAACTTATTTAGCTTTGAAAACTAAGGCTGGTAAAAACCTAGTTGTTTATCAGCACTGAAAAGCGACCTTGCTAAAATTTATTTTACTGTGCTGAAGATATTTTATTGTAATAAGTTACCATGTTACTGTAGATTGGTGTTGCACGTTGGACAATGGCCAAGAGTATCTCAGGTTCACATGTCAGAATAATCAGAATAAATTATAGTAAGTTCAAAGCTACTCTCTTTTTCCCTCACTGAAATTACTAAAGGCTTTGAGTATTAAATTTCATAAATGCAAGGGTGCAACGTTTCATCTACTGGAGAAGATGGCAATGACTTCACTCATTCTGCATTTAGTCAGTTAGCAGCAGTCCAATAATGGCAGTTATCAATAGTTATAGCTGTCTTGGTTGATAACTAAGATTAAACATCACAACAGAAAGAAAGAAAAAATAGAAACATTTTCTATATGCTGGAATTCACTGTTGCTGAGTTGATCTAAAGTTTTTTAATTTTATATATTTATTTATTTCTTTATTTT